TATTCATGTAGGTTAACACATGAGTACATATTTTTAACTAAAATACACTGAAATTTCACAATAAAGAATCTTATAGTAGAGATAAATAAACTTTAACTAACTAATAATCTCTTAACTATTTTTTAAATTTTATTTGTTCTAAAATTGCCTAAAAGACGTTTTTAGTTGATAAATTAAATTTTCTTGAAGCGTTCTACACTTACCAAAGCGTAAACATCTCTATATAATGACTCCAATTCAGTTTCTTCAGCAAAGCTTTCATACATTTGATCTGATAATATCGTTTACTTTTCTATTTTCTATTTTGCTTAGTAGATGACTTTGGGAATGTTACTTCTTTTTCAAAATTTTTATAGACTTTATATCTGCTTGTATGGCTTATTTCAATATTAGTGTGATTTTAACTCTTAAAGAAGAGGGATTTGTGACTTTTCCACTCAAAATGTATAGAATGTTTCTGCGAAACTAACTACAATTCAAGATTGAATTTAGAATAATTTTAAAAATTGAAAAGGACCAAATTAAAAAAAAAAAAAAAAAAAAAGTCTTAAAGGTTTCAGATTCTAAATTACGTCTAAAGGGGCGTTTTTTTTAACGTTTTGTGTGTCACCTTTTTTATTAAATATCATGTTCTTTGCACTTAAACCATAAAACTCAGTTCGATAGCAATGTCGCAAAATAATTTTAAAATGAGCCTATCTTTAGAATTTCCGATACATAGTTCCGCGCGCTGGAGATAAAAATGTTTTCTTTTTCCCCCGTAGAGTGATGCTATTGCTCGCTTTGAAATCCTTGACTTTGTTCATCAAAAATTTGTTAAAGTTTTACAAAATATGAAATCGATCATAAAACAAATTCCGAATTTCAAATTTGGTCTTCCACATGCCCATATTCGTAGGAGATTACGTCTTTCAAAATTCGGTGGCTCTATGTATCGTTATTTTATCACAATGCGAGAAATATACATACATTTATGCAGATTTTTCCTTGTTTAATTTCTTCAAATATAATGCAAGACTCTAACATTAGGTGGCAAAAGTTTGAAAAGTGAAACGGACATTTATAGTGATTCAACGCAAAATCGCAAAACGAAAACAATAGTCCTTCAGGGAAATATTAAAGAATATATTAAGCCTCTTATATACACTTTTCTTTCAAGTTTTTTCAGTCCACATTATAGTAAGAATAATGATGCATATATAAACAGACTATTCGATAAAAATTAAGTACGAGTTCATCATGGATTGAATGCACACAGAACCGATGACAGCTTGATAAAATTTATTTTCCGAAAAGAAACACTTTACATTTCTGGAACTCTTCCCAAAAGTACCCGTACAGCTCTTCTCGGTATGACAGACCACAGTCAAACTACTAAGAACTTTCAATGTAACACAATATAAAAAGCTTTAATGCTTAAGCTCGCATTCATTCAAGAGTGATTTCTCAGTACTCTGAACTAAACTGAGAACTGATGATCTCTTCTGTCTTCCATAATTTTCTCCTGTTTGCCAAGAAATTTCCAGTACCTTCGATTTCTCGAAATTGCCTGGAAGGCTAATAGAGTTATTGTTACATATAGGCCGGAAACAGTTACAGTTAAGACCAATTACAATAATAAAGGGATCGCACCCATACGGTTGCCAAGATGGATACTCTTTGTTATTTCTCGCCAAATTTGGCTACGAAAATTAGTCACAAAAACCATCACAAGCTTCGCACTATCTTCCCAGTCTAGCGCCAGTTTGGCGAGTCATTTACCTCAATGTTAAATGGATTTGCTTCCTGCTGCCTAATTTTTTACTTTCTTGATGTCTTCCGTGTTACATTATACGGGAGATACTATAGTTTTACATATAATTTTACTAAAATTATATACATATACACAAAATTCATAGCAATACTTTGCTTTTAGTATTATGAAGTGCATGATGAAGTGAGAAAGTTTGGGTTTTATTTTTGAGAGGAAAAACAAAAGGATACAATTAGTATGAAAGAGGACTGACTACAAGTCCTCGATTTACTTATTCAAGCGGCAAAGGAAATTTTATGTCAGGTATCGAGTTATACATTTGTTACTTGTATATCGTGTTAAGCTTCTCATAAGCGTTATCGATTGCTGAAGCAGATTTTTGTGTCTAATAGACTGGTGCGCAATAAACACTCAAGGCGGCATGTATCGATTTGGTGCAGGAGAATCTGTAGACACAATGTATGCATTCAAAACAAAGAAATTGTAGACTGATGAGGTGTTTTATCCCTTTTACTAACTGTGCTGCTGATCTTTAGCAAGATATAATCATAATCTATCGTTGTTGATGGTATAAAGATAACAGGTATCTGATACTCATCCGTCGAACTTGTAAATGTAAATGTGAATGTAAGCCTGCCATTCTTCGGGCTATCAATATGTTGATATTTTTGCGTTGTATTGTATATTAATCCACATTGCTAAAGCAGTATTCTTTAATTTCGTACGAGTATACGTTGTTAAATTTCATTTGCAGTAGAGTAAAATTGTCTGCGTGTACATGTTTCCTCTCGAATAATTTTAAAAAGTATTCAGTATACACTGTCCACTTGCGTGCTATTTAAAATATTCTTAGAAAAAAAAATCTTTAATTGTTATTACATTCGCTTCAAAAAATAAAGTTTTGACCATTTTTTTATTTTTCATAAGTGATTTCTAGTAGGACCGTCTAGGTCATGGTAAAAATCGAACGATTATTTGTTAGAATACTATCTCAAAACAACCCGTAAAACTTTTATTTTATTTTGCATTTTCTTTTAAATTCCTAAATATAAAATTTTATGTATTGATCATCTGAATGCATTACGAAAGAAATAACTGATGTAGACGCCATAAAACTTCCTTGTGTAGCCTACTAAATTATGCAAATTATGAACATTTTTTGCTGCACTTCATTTAAAGTTACTTCCTAGAATTTTTCTAATTCTATAATTAACTGATTTCTCAAGGCAATGTGAAAATGACATAAAAAATTACAAATTTTGAAATTAAATATCTCTGTCGCCTTTTTTCGGACGGGAATCAAACATCTTGTGTTTTTATTTTTTCACAACGAGCATAAATTTTCCTGATTAAGTATGGTAACCGGAACACCGCATTAACGGTTAGGTTTCGTTATTTGTCCAACATTATTTTTTCTTAAATTTGACATTGTCGAAATGCGAACATTTTTGTCACTTAGAAGACTTTTGTAATTGGAAGTATATGATTATGAACAACGATCGCGAAAATAAAAGGTGCGGGTGTACATACACACACATATATATGTGTATGCTTGGGTGTTTATTTAAGTATGTATATGTATATCAAAAGGTATTTCCTTCCTCCATCAAACATGTCTTTGTGGTGTAATGCTAGCTCACTAAGCGCGTATTCGAGAGGTCCAGGTTCAAATCCCGGTGAAGGCATTGCTCATTTTTCATGTCTTCTGCTTCCCCCAAAAAAAACCTAATAACTCTACGATATACATATACCCATCCCTGTATAAATACAATCAAAAAAGGAGATGCACAACTGGATGTTATAGCAGTCCCATATACAAACTTTTCTTTCTTTATGGCTAATTGTTTTTAAGTTATGCGACATACGTACCTACGCATGTACAGACGCCACGAAAAAGTCTTTTTTAATCCATTTTACAATCCGTCTTGCAATAAAGAGTTCTTTATTCAGTTCATACGTACAGACGCCACGAAAAAAAAATAGTCAAAACGAATTCGAGGACAGACTGAAAAACACGAATAATCCAAACTATCAATTTTCATGCATGTGTTTATTTAAAAAGAAACAGATGCTTTTACTTTATTTTTGAGACCGTTTAAATATTTGGAACTTCGCTGCGTATTTTTTGAAATGCTACTTTATCACTCTATTCCAAATCCCCTTTGTTCAATAAAGTCCTGCTGTCTCGGAACCAATGTAACTGGCACCATCTTAATTCTTTGCTTGCAATTTCAGTATCACTCTCTGCTTGTTCCGTCTTTGTGACATTTCAAACGATATCAGCATCACTCAAAGACTAAATGCAGGGCTCAGTCGAATCGCCATCAAAACAATCCTCGATGTTTACCAGGTCGACATTTTCGTAGAACTTTACCTCGAATTTTACCACCCCCAGGTCCGGATAATCCGAGCTGCGAATAATCGAGAGTACACTGTACTTCCTTTACTTCGTAGAAGAAAGTAAAATGCTTACTGTCTACCGATAGTAGATCTCTTGTTGCAAGCGATCCGGCAAAATTTGATTTCCATTTCAGATGAAAGAAATATCTTTAGTGAACTAGAATTCTTTTTATTATTCATTGGAAAGATTCTAAGCCTTTTTTTCGGGAAGGGGGATTTTTAATTGCTTGTGTACCATGTCGTATTTAAAAAGACAGCGACTACAGCGGGATCCTACCAAAACATGAAATAAATCAAGCGCATCTCAGCGAAATTGACTGACTGTTTTTCTGCAAATGAATTGAATTTTTTCGCCTGTGCTCAAAAGCATCGTGGATATCAGGTTAATGTGGGCAGACAGTACTTATTGTATTCTTATTAGAATTTATTTAAGGTCGTTTAACTGTTTATTGCATTCAAACCTCAATAACAAAGTCGATTTCAAATTAGCTAGGATGAGACCGGAGATGACATCCACAGATAACTCATCGCAACTAATTCGAGAGCAATAAAAAAAGGGGGAAGAAAATAATCTGTACCGTAATTAACGGAAATATAACACTAACAAGTTATTTGGATTTCTCAGCTGTCTAGTCTTTAGATAGGAAAATTAAACCAGCAGTCAAAACAAAAAAGAACACAGTATAAATAATTGAAAAATAAACATTTTTAAAAACAAAGTAACTAAGTGAAAAATAACAAAACCTAATGCTAAAGGATATTAAATCAGTGGTTGTATGCTTGATTAATTTTTATCATGGAACAAGCTACTTTTAACGCATGATTTAACAATGTTTATACATTTCAGATTAGGTAAAAGTGAATTACATACTCTTGTGTGGATAAAGAGAATTCCCAAGCACTGACGTCGTCTGTTATCTTTACTGTTAATTCAGGTACTTTTATTTTTCTTTTTACCAATTTCTGCAGGCAGTTTTGGCTTACGCTAACAGTTTATAATAATAATTTTTCCATCTTTATGCAACAAATAAACTACGGCTCGGATAATCGGAAGTTAATTATCCTAGCTGTAGTAAACTCGAGCCGTTGATTACCCGAACCTCACTTTTGTATTCGGCTGAAAAGGGACGCATTAAGGGGCGAGATTTCTAAACCGATGTTAGAAAAATCTTTCAATTCCTTTTTAAGATTTTCTTATTAAATTTTAAGTTTATCCTTAAAAAAAAAAAAAAAAAAAAAAAAAAAAAAAAAAATGCTTTACTTGCTTTTACATCCTTTTACATTATTTTTTTTAAAAAAGCGATTTTAATTTTGTGAATCGTTTTTGGAAAGATTTCCAAAAATTGGAAAATTGGAACGTTGCTGATCTTTGCTAGTTTAAATTTTTGGATTAGTGACATTTCCAGATCCATGATTTGTGAATTCCCTTTTTCTTCTCATTTTGCGCTGAATTTAAAGGTTTATCTCTAAAAAGCGAGTAATGTTAAAAAAGATCAGTTAGCAAAAGCGTGCTGGCACCAGTGATAACTTTCCCAAAGATATTAATAATTATCTTTAGTCTATTTCTATATGCATTAAAGCCCTTTTTGCTTTAATGCATATAACGTATCTTTATCTCAAGATAGCAGCTGTCTTGTGAAGTCCACCTGGTATAGTGGCTGGGCTGTTTTCACAGGAGGCAGTGATGGCCACCACTTCCGGCCACTTACAGTGGAGCAAGGCTCATGGCTGTTAAATAAAAAGTTCGGCTGTTTAAAAAAAAATTTTTTTTTGATAACATTTAAGGCCAAAAACATTTGTAGGGAACTTAAACATTAAACCATAATCAATTTTTACTTAACAGATTCGCAGTACAAAAAGCAAATGAATCAACTGCTCTGTAACGATGACCAAAAGCATAACAATTTTTTTGTTTGTTTGTTTGTTTATTTACCCTTTTGCCACGTATTTGAATCAAAGGTTTTGATTTTAAATTGTTGTCAATAAAAGAGTCTTTTAAATGGATACCACGCGGAAGTGAATATGTTTTTGTAGCGTTGTTATTAGAACTAATATTTCTAATTATTTTCTATTCTTTTTGTAGTGTTAATGATTTATCTATTGTAGCGTTATTATTTAAAATAAAATTCATAAACAAGATTATGTCTCGCAAATTAACAGACGAGCAAAATGGACTTAGTAGCAACCTTTCGAAGGCGTTGCTGCTGAGTGAAACACAAGGCTTTTAATTTATCATTCAAATGCCCCCTGCCAAAGCGGATTCTCAGAATCTGACCATTCGACAAAATATAAACTCTTTAATCTATCTTTCAATCAAATCAATCTTTAATTTATCTTTCAATCGTAATTGCATTAATTATATCAATCTTTAATTATATCAACCATATCAATTATATCAATCTTTAATTATATCAGTTATATTAATCTAATTTTATCTTACCTTACCAATTATATCAATCTTTGATTTATCTTTCAATCAATAGTTAGCAAACTCAGAAACTGAAAAGTAATAAAAATGTTTTTACAAATTTAAATGTATATTTTCTTTTTTATAATGCATCTGATTGGCATAAACTCAAACGCGTATAATTTATATATATATATCAAAGATAATTTTATATATATCAAAGATAATTTTTGCGAAAATTAGCGTCTTTGTTGTATTTAAAAAGTCTTTTTAACGTTATATGCTTTGAAATCAGAATAGAATTAAAAAAAAAATCCAACAATGCATTTTTTTGCATTTTGCATTTTTTTGCATTTTTTTTCTATAATGTTTTTAATACTTTGTTGAAATTTTTAATCCCCAAAAATTATTTTTGATACTTCCAAAACTCTGTTAATAGATACTTAATATATACAATTCAAAATACATTTGGGAAGCTGTGAATTGTTATTTTCACTTGTGCCTTTTCGAAAAAGAATTAGTTGACAGCGTATTAATTTAAACAGAAGCGAAAATGTGCTTGAAAGCGTCAAAAAATACAGAGCACAATTTTAAATGCTACTTATTGTAATCAAGTTCCTTAGATGCACTTCCTCTTTTTAAACTAACTAGAAATGCTTCATCAAATATCAATTATCTAAATTTGTGTACACTTATCCAACGAAACCAACAAATGTTCTTCAAAATTAATACGAAAAGAAAAGAGGTATAAAAAATCGTCAATGATCAAATTACACTACACATTTTTACTCTGTAACGAAATTCTTATTTTTATCGTTTAAAACTAGCCTTTTTCTTAGATTTTTAAATTTCTTTGAATTAATCTTTTCTTTTTCATTTTTATTATTTCTGTTGTAAAATAGGTAAATAAAATAAAACTTTTTGAGATAACATAAATATGAAGAATTGTATTCGGTTTTGAGTTAATTATGGCACCAACGAACTAACCACTTGATAGATAAATTCGTCTTTTCTCATTCGCTGTATGGGGTAAGTTAATTCTACGTATTACTTTCATTGTTGGATTTGATTACACTGTTATATTTTCTTTGTACATACTTCAAATGCTCTGGCTTATTCGATAACGTTTTACGCAAATTAAAAAAAAGAGTATTGTAGTGCTGCCATCTATTGTCATAAAATGTAACAACAAGGTAACAATAGGTGATAATAGACGCATCTTCTAAATGACAATCAGCACAAACTTTTCTTCGGTTCAATAGATTCAAAGGTTTCACGTAAGAAGTTTCAGTGATTTGTTTTACATTATTTAAATTGATAATAATTTGATTTAATTTTGAATTATTTTTAATTTTTTTTTATTTTTTAATTTTTTTATTTTATGAATAATTTTTGTTACTTTAAAATTTGTCCTCGAAAGTTGAAATGGCGAGTATTATGAAGCTTAAGATGCGTATTAGAACGGTAGTTTTTTCCTTATTAAGTCTAGATTTTATTTGAATACTTTCTTAGACTCACCTCGAAACCATTTTTTCAAAGCACGTAAAGTACAGCCACTCCTTAAACAGAGATTCAGTTTAAATTATTCTAAGGAAAATAATTGAAATATAATTTCATTGCTGTATTTCAAGTAATAATTTCAAATGATGTTTCAGCTTTATGTTTGCAGAATGTAAATTACATTACAGTTCGAATTAGTGCTTGAAATATAATGTATTTTTATGTTGTATATCTTTATGTTCTTTTACAACAAGATAAATAGGACTCAAAGACAACAAATTACGGAAAATTTAAGTATTACATGTATTTACGCCCTGTATTATCTTTAAAGAAATTAAATAATGAAGAATCTGCATGAATGTATGTACGTTTCTCGCACTGTGAAAAAACGATGGTACCTAGAGTCATCAAATTTCGAATAGCGTAAACCTCCACCCGAACATGGGCACCTTGAAGCCCGAATTTGGAATTTGTTGTACTATCTCCTTCATATTTTGTAAACCTGTAACCAATTTTTGACAATTTTTGATTAACAAATTCAATTATTTCGAAGCAAATAATGGCAGCACAGTACGAAAAAAAAATTTACTTCCAGCGCGTGAGGCTGTCTGTCGGAGATTATAAAGATATGCTGTTTTTAAATATTTTGTGATATTGCTGTTGAATCGAATGTTATGTGGTTTACGTGCGAAGAGTATGATATTTAATAAATAACGGTAACACACAAAACGTTAAAAAAAACGCTCCTTTGGGCGTAATATAAAATCTGAAAAATTTCAGATTTTTTTTTTTTTTTTTTTTTTTTTTTTTTTTTAATTTTCATATTTATAAAATCTACTTTTTCGTTTTATTTGATTCTCATAAATGGCAGATTTCAATTTTGTTGATAATATCAAAATCATCCTTATACCATTTAAACATGAAGTAAAAGCGCTCGCTCCCCCCCGTCCTGTTCTTTTTCTTATATGAAGGATTCGAGAGTAGAGTTTCGAGAAACTTTCAGGATTCGGATTCGAGAAACTTAAGGATTCATTTGATCTCTGATTTCTGTGTTCAAGATCGCAAGTTATGTTTATATTTACTAAATATAATGTAGGAAATATGTTGAAATATAGTTTGGAGTTTATTGAACTATTAGAATCTGTTCTGATAGGTTTATTATTATTATTATTTTTAATTTTTAGAAACTTTTTCTGAAATAACAATTAATGCCGCATATCTTTCGCTTTCTGCAGCTTTTCCCGTACGAAATCCTGAAGTGAATATGAAATGTTACTTTTAACGCCGAACTGCTTCCGAATTCCCTTCCCCCCCCTTTTTTAAGAAGACAATTACGATATGTTTAAAATTACTGTTATATATTGATATTATGTTCCTTTAATAAAAGTAACATTAAAATGAAACTGGTTTTATTTCCCTTTGCCGTGTTTAAAAATATTTTTGATTTTCATTTTGCCGACTTTTTAGAACCGTTGTGGTTCAGTAATTTAAACAAGACGATAAATACTAATTAGATTTAAGTGTGTGTGGGAGGAGAATGCTCTTTTGTAAATATGTTAAAATGAATATCATTTAAATTTTCACTTTTACTTTTTGTAGTAAATGTTTTTCCGCTGTAATTCCTGTCTAAAAATATTCAGATATGAGTTTGTTTGCTCTGAAATATTCACTCGAGGCTTGATTCTGAATCTTTTACAAAAGTCTTCTGACTTTTTTCTCTCATAAGTTTGCAGGTGAGCTGCAATATAATCAATCTTAATTCTGAATGAAGTAAAAAGAATTCAACATTGCATGATGATATTACAGCCCTCTTGCGTATTTAAAAGAAAAGTTCAAATCTTCGAATAAATTTGTTCTGCGTGTTAGAACAATAACATCCGTCTGGCGTTTCAACAATAGCGAGTAAAGTTATTCAGCATTTACTTGTGAATGCTTCCCATAATTACGATTTTTGTTTGGTGTAAAAACATCCATCAAATGTCCTTACTTTCCGGTTGTAATGTATGAAAATACGCATCCACCTGCTTC